AAAGTGGCCATATCTTACTTTATTGATTATGGTCAAATTTAATTTCCTTCTCTGTACCCCCAACCCCTCTGTCCCAGACCAGCTCATTTTACTTTCTGACTGGATTATTGCACCAGCCTCTTCCCAGGCCTCTTTGCTTCTAGCTTCTTGGCTCTATTCCATTCGTCACTCTTCACCTTTATCTTTTTATATCCCGACATTGATCATGTATCCCATCTACTTGACTATGAGCTATGTGAGAGAAGAGATTGAGTCATCTTGTTAATTGCCTAATTCCCTTTGCCAAGCATCATGTTTTTCATAGAGGAGATGCTTAATAAATGTTTGACAGATGAATCAATGAATGGACAAATACCATGGGCTAGTCACTATGCTCATTATTGTAGGATAGTCCTCTCATGTGCTCCCACAGTCAACAATGTTTGCCCCATCAAACAACTTATGCTATAGTTTGTAATTGCTTGTTTATTAGACTGGAAATTCTGTGAAGACAGGGACCACATCTGTCAAGTTTACCTTCCCAGACAAACATTACTCTCAGCACCCTGCATGGTGTTGAATGAATTCATGAATTAGTGTTCCACTGGAAATATATTTTACCTCCATCCCTAACTGTACATTCAGCAGTTACTGACTGGGCACCTACTAAGTGCACGGCAGTGGTCTAGGCATTGGAAATTTTTCAGTGAACAAGACAGATAAAAGCCTCTGCTTTGATGGAGCTTATATTTTAGTGAGGAAGACAGTCAATAAATCAATGGACACATATTTATGTAAGAAAATGTCAAGCAGTGATAACTGCTATGAAGAAAAATGATGCAGAGCAAAGGGGTAGAGAATGGTTCAGAGGATTCCTATTTTAGCTTGGGACTTCAGGGAGGCTCTTTCTGAGGAGGGGACATATAGAAGACCTGAATGAGATGAGTGAGGAGGCATTCCAAGCAGAGAGAACTGAGTGCCAATGCCCTGATACAGAAATGTGCTTGGCAAGTTTCAGGAATAGTAAGGGGGCCAGTGTGCCTAAAGCATAGTGAACAATGAGATGGGCAGGCGAGATCAGAGAGCTAGGCAGGGGTCAGATCGTGTAGGGCTGCGGAAGCTATAACACAGTTGAGAGACTGCTCTAAGTAAAAATAAAAGCCAACAAAAGACTTTAATGAGGCAGTCAACAATTTATTTATTTGTTATTAAATAGTAGGTCTGTGGACCCTAGTAAGGAAAATCCTGGAGGCAAGAGGAGATAACCCAGTTAGAAAGCTACTGCAATAGACCAGGTGACAAATGATGATAGCTTGGTCCAGTGTTAGTAATGGGAGTGAGGAGGAAGTGATTGGATTGGGATATATTTTGAATACAGAGACAACATATCTGTGGATAGTTTCGAGGTATGGTAGGAGAGAACCAGAGGATTCAGGGATGATCCTGAGGATTTAATCCAGTTCAAGTCCCATTCTTCATGGCTCAGTTCAAAACCACCTCCTCTGGGAAGCATTTACTGACATTCTCTACCTTCCTGCCATGGAAATCAATGCCCCTCCCCCATCCCAGATACTCATTTCACTTTGCAGCTCTATAATGTACTAACAGCATTCCATCTTCCGGCAAAGCTGAGATACCTGTTCACATCTACCACTCCCACTCAATTTAGATCTCCTCAGGGACCCTGTCATGGTCATCTTTGTAGTCTTTACCAGACTCTGTACAATGACTTATGCAGAATAGTTAACAAATAAATAGCGGTGAGATTGAGTAGATTAACTAAATTGAAGCTGTTTATAATTGCTTCGAGTGTATGGTTGCAAAACTCTCTAATCATTAGAATGTAAGCAGAAGAATTATTTCAACATCACCAGCTTTTAATTACTAAAGTCTATTTGATGGATGCCTCTGTTTGAATTATTGACATCATGAGGATTAAAATGTGGTCCTTGATTAAAAAGAAGCTCATGTGTTGAGTGAGGGGCGTGGAGAGCGCCAGAGGGTGGGATATTTAATGAATCCTTTTCTCTCAGCTTATGTTCAGCTAGTGAAGCTGTCAGGGGAAGTGAAAACTATCTAGACGAGGATCAAGCTGATATTTATAAAAATGGAAGAAGGGAGAGGAGGTGGGGGCTTTTGAAGCATAAAAGTTGAAGCACATGCACCTGGATTCAAATGTTAGCTCTCCCATTTACTACTTACGGCTCTCTGAGAAAGTGGGGTTTTTTTTAGTTGTTTCATTTGCGTTTAATTGAGATACAACTTATGTACAAAAATACATAAATCTTAAATGTACAACCTAACCAATTTTTAGAGATGTATGCACCCATGTCCCCATCTCCGATAAAAATGTAGCACATTTCCAGCACCTCAGCAGGCTCCCTCATGCTCCTTCCACTTAGTATCCCCTGCAGAGCTAGCCACGATAACTTCTCCTACCATGTAATCATTTTGTCTGCTTTTAATCTTAATGTAAATGAAATTATACAGAATGTGCTCTAGTGTCTGGCTTCTTTCTGAGCAAATCATTTAAACTCTTTAGGCCTCAGTTTCCTGAGTCTTTATAACAGAAATACTAGTAGTAGCAGTTATATCAAAGAGGTGTGTAGATTTTATGAGATAAAACATATAGAATGCTTAGGATAGTGTGTGCTGAATAAACATTCGTCCTTTCCTTGCTTCCTTTCCTTGTAAGTTCCTACAGCTATGATAAACTCTATTGGGGTATAAGGGAAGTATAAAAGGCAGTTAATACCCTTAAGGAACTTATAATCTAGTTAGAGACAAGGATGTAAAGTGCTTGGTAAGCATAAAGGACAATAGTAATATATTCTTAATATAATAAATATAATAATGTCAATTACTAATCCCACTGCTGACTGAAAAGGAGGCAGGTGATACAGTGAAATGATTAAAAGATCTCAGGTTTTGAAATCTTTGCACTTGGGTTCTAGCACCAGTTTCCCCAGTTACCAGCTGTGTGACTTTTGGGATGTCACACATGTCGCTAAGCTTTAGTTTCTTTATAGGCAAATGGGAATAACACTATTATCTACCTTATGGGATTGCTAACGATATTGAGTGCAACGTATGTTAAGTGCCTGGTACAGGACCTGAAACATAGTATGCATTTAAACAATGGTATTTGCTGAGGGTTTTTATTTCTGCTTTGGATACCAGTATCCATAAAGATCCAGAGCTTTCACCCTACCAGGGTTAGCTAAGTGGCTTGCAAGGCATCATCTACAGCAGTTGAATAGGTAGCACAGATCCCAAGGTGACTGTTGAAGCTCAAGGGGCCACTTCCTCATTCACCACCCTACACTTCTCCAGTAGACATTTGTGACAGTGCCCGGAGCCATTGAGCTAAGGGCTCTGCTTCTGCCTTGGGGAGCCGCCAACTTGATCCTTTCTTGTTCAGAAGGCTAAATATCTAATGATCCAGGACTCTAGCTGGGACCCTTTGCAGCCCTCAGGCAGGAGCCACGGCAGGTTGGACCCAGTGCAGCAATAGGGGCACTCATTTGTGATGGAGGAGTAAATAAACTTTTAAAAATAAAGACAATTTTTTTAGGGCAGTTTGAAGTTCACAGCAAAATTGACGGAAAAGTACAGAGATCTTCCATATACCCTCTGCTCCCACACATGCATAGCCTCCCCTGTTATCAACATTCCTCACCAGAGTGGTACATTTCTTACAATTGATCAACCACTACATTGACACATCATCACCCAAAGTCCACAGTTTATGCTAGGGTTCACTCATGGTGTCATACATTCTGTGGCTTTGGGCACACGTATGACATGTAGTCACTGTTACAGTGTCATACAGAGTAGTTTCACTGCCCTAAAAATCTTCTGCACTCAACCTATTCATCCCACATTCCCCCAAGTCCCTGGCAACCATTGATTCTTTTACTATTTCCATAGTTTTGCCTGAGGAATGCAATTTTCATAGCCATTTTGAAACCAACATTTGAAAATCAAAATTCTTTAAACACTGTTCAGCATCAGTGTTTTGAGAAAACATTTTCAGAATCATTTTATGCAGTCTGCTTCCCACTGCTCAAAAGTTTTTTTTAGAAAAAACTTAAAAATCAACATGCCTTAAAAATATTTTTCAAACCAAAACAAATGTCTCAAAAGCTATTTGCAGATATGATTATTAGTGGGATGATTCAGCCCTGAGGAATATTTTCTCTAGTGATCTTCTGATGCTTTCATTTTGGGGACTTGATTTAGTCAGATTATTTTCTCAAAACTCTATTTATTTTCTATCTATCCTGAAACTCAGCTAAGAGACCAAAGAAATTCAAACTTTAAAGCTTCAACATAAAGCATTTATTGAATAAATGAATCATTTTTTTTTGTCTTGGCCGCCAGGAAACTCAGAATTATATTAGGTAGAGGAAACTATTTCACCCTTGGTTCTCCCTTTCTCTACATGATTTACCTATAATTCTTTTCATCTTTATTTATCTGCCCTATTTCTCTGAATTTTTATGTTGATCTGTTTCAAATCCATTTTGGATGTAGATGGAACTACATCTATGGATAAATCTATGGAAAGACGCCCAGTTGCAGTAGTACTCACATAAATGCAAATTTAAAAATCCACGAACTATTGCTTAACACACATTTGAATGGCAAAGTTAGAAAGCCAGATAACATTATGAGCTGATGATGATATGAGAAATCATATGTTAAGTTCTGTTGGTTGGAGTGTGAACTGGTAGAGCCACTCAGGAGAGCAATCTGAAGGTGCTTAATGTAATTAAATATTCATAAACTCTATGAATGAGTTTATAATTCTGTAACAGAACCATTAAGGGACATGTGCAAGGAGGTTTATAAAATTATTGTTTGTGATAGCACTGAAAGCAATGTCAGAACTCTAGTCTAGATACACATCTTAGCTCTGGCTGCCATAATAAAATGTCATAAACTGGGTGGCTTAAACAACAGAAATTAATTTTCTCACAGTTCTGGGGGCTAGAAGTCCAAGATCAAGGTGCTAGCATGGTTGAGCTCTGATAAGGGCTCGCTTCTTGGTGTGCAGATGATTGCTTTCTCACTGTGTCCCCACATGGCGCAGAGAGAGAGAGAGAGAGAGTTAGTTCTCTGATATTGCTTCTTATAAGGGCACTAATCCCTTCATGAGGACTTTATAATCATTACCTCATCTAACCCTCTGAAGACCCCTTTCTAACTCCCAACACTACCTCATCTAACCCTCTGAAGACCCCTTTCTAACTCCCAACACATTGGGAGTTATGGCTTCAACATATGAGTTCTGGAGGGACACAAACTTTCATTCCATAACATTTTGCCCCTGACCCCCCAAAATTCATGTCTTTCTCACATGCAAAATATATGCAGTCCATCTCAACAGACCCACAAATCTTAACTCACTCCAGCAACAACTCTAAAATCTTAAGTGCAAAGTATCATCTAAATCATGTATGAGTGAGACTCAAGGTACAATTTGTCCTGAGGCTAAATTTCTCTCTAGCTGTGAGCCTGTGAAACCAGACAAGTTATGACTGAACTTGTTATGTGTTTTTTCACTGGAATTCTGGAAAGAAGATCCTTGGAGGAACAGGGGAGAAACAGGATATTTTGCCTAGGGTCAAGAGATGACTTGGCTGTCTTTAGCTGTGTGAGGATTTGTCATTTGCAGAGAGAGAACTGTGCCTTGTAGTTCCAGAGAAAATCTCGAGGCCATAGAAGGAAGTCTTCAAAGAGATAACATTACTTAACGGGTAAAATAAATCAAAAGCACAGTAATATTAATAGTTGCTGCTTCCATTTACTGACCACTCACTAGATGCCAGGCTCTGGGTTGAGCATTTTAAATTCATTATCTTAATTTGTCCTCTCAGAGATGCAATGAAATAAGTGTTCAAACCAACTCTTCAAAAAACTGGCATTGAAAAAAAAACAAAATTGGCTACGTTGAAACTTTGTCCCTAGAATTTAATCAAATTAAAATGAATCTTTTCAGTAGTAAAATTGTTTTTTTCACTAGATTTGAGGGCATGAAACTCCATTAAGACATACAGCATCATACTATACCAGCATTCTACCATCCTTGTGGTGATTGACCATTTCCTGAACTCTAAGGACCAGCTCACAGGCTTCCTTGACACTCCAAGTTCTGTCCTCATCCTGGGTGCCCTCAACGACATATACATGGAAGTCCCACTCCAAACACCCTGGCCTCACACCTCTCTGACCTTTAACTTCTGAGCACCTCAACCACTCTCATTCATTTGACATCACTGGGCGTGGCTTCAACTCCAATATCCCGCTGAGATCCAAATCTTCTAGTGAAGGCTGGGTCCCACGCCATCTGCTATTTGGCCACTGAGAGGTCCAGTGCTCAAAACCTTCCTTTTCTCTTCACTTTTTCCTTGTCCAACCCGAATCTTGGAGCATATTGATTTAGTGACTGCCTCTTTGTCCCCTTGCCTCCTACGACCACATCTGCACTATTTAGCCTCACTTTTGAGTCTTACCGATGATTTCACTGATGTCATAATAACCACTGTGTGAGAAAGGAGCAGCACCCCAAGTATTGGTGCCTCTAACAATCAGAATTTCCAACCTGCAATACTTTCAAACACCCCAGGTCATCTCTTTCTCCAGTTTTTCTCCCATCTGTACTCCAAGGTTTTTCATCACTCCTCTCAACGATAGCCCCTTACACTCTACCCTCACCACACCCCACACAATGGCTCAGACTCCTACTTCATAAAGGAGATCGAGGCTAACTTCAGCTCCTTGCTCCCACACCTACAAAGGTCTCTTTGGCTTAATGAGCTCTCACTTCACATTTCTCTTTTAGTTTCAGAAGAACTGGCCCTTATCCTCTAGTTAGTCCACCTTTGTTCTGTACAACCTCCTCTAATTTTCCTCCTCTCACCTTCCCTAGAACCTTGCTTATACTATTATCCATTCTCTTTCCTGAATCTTTATTCCCTCTCTCCCTATTAGTTTCCTAACCTGAAGTTATTAATATGCTCAATTGTTCCTCTTGTTTAGAAATTTTTTCTTGGCACCACTGCCTCCTTCATCTACTATTAAAGCTCCTCTCATTTTTTAAGTTTAAAAAAATCAGTGGTCTATACCCAGTCACAGCTTTCTCACTTCCTGTTCTTTTTTCAACTCAGTGTGATCAATCATACCACTCCATTGTGCTACATTTACCATGATTACTCTTTAGTCCTGCTCTTACTTTTTATTACAGTTTTATTGAAGCATGTAATAAATTGCACATATTTTAAATATACATTTTGATGAGTTTTGACACATGTGTACACCCATGAAACCATCACCTCAATCAAGATAATGAACATATCTATCACCAACAAAAGTTTAGAAATACCCTTTGGTAAACCAAACAGCCCACACACTGTCCCTAAGCAACCATTGATTTGCTTTTATCAACACAGATTAATTTGCATTTTCCAGAATTTTATATAAATGGATTCAGACAGGATGTACTTTTTTGTCTGGCTTATTTCACTCAAAATAATTATTTTGAGACTCATCCATTTTGTGTAAGTATCAACAGTTTGTTCTTTTACATAGATGAGTAGCATCCCACTGTACAAATACGCCACAATTTACTTTTGCATTATCCTGTTGATGAACATTTGGGTTGTTTACAGTTTGGGCTGTTTTTAATAAAGCTGCGAGGAGTATTTGTGGACTAGTGTATGGATATACTCTTTCATTTCTCTTGGGTAAATAGCTAGGAGAAGAATGAGTGGGTTGTAAGGTAGGTATTTGTTTAACTTTTTAAGAAACTGCCAGATTGTTTTCCAAAGTGGATATACCATTTTATAGTCCCACGAGAAATGAATGAAAATTCCAGTTGTTCCACAACCTCACCAACATTGGTATGGTCAGTCTTTTTATTTTAGACGTTCTAATGGGTGTGTAATGTTATCTCACTATGGTTTTGATTTACATTTCTTTAATAACTAATGATGTTGAACACCTTTTCATGTGCATATTTGCCATTTGTATTTCTTCTTTTGTGAAATGTCTATTCTAATCTATTGCCCATTTTTAGTGTATTGTTTATCTTCTTATTATTGAGTTATAAAAATTCTTCATATATTCCAGATACAAGTCCTTTATTGGATATGTGATTTGTAAATGTTTTCTCCCATCTGTGACTTGCCTTTTTATTTTACTAATAGTGTTTTGTAGGGAACAATAGTTTTTAATTTTGATGAAGTCCAATTACCAGTTTTGCTTAAATCCCCATGCTTACTGTATTCTATTTAGAAAATCTTTGCCAAATGTAAAGCCACTTAGAGTTTCTCCTATGTGTTGTGTAAGAAGCGTTATAGTTTTAGCTGTTACTTTTAAGTCTTTGATCCATTTTAAGTTAATTTTTGTATATAGCATGAGATAAGGGCTGAGGTCCTATTTTTTTGTACATGGTCATTCCATTGTTTCAGCACTATTTCTTGGAAAAGATTTCCCATTAAACTGCCTTGCCACCTTTGTGAAAAATCAAATGACCTTGTATGTGTGGGTCTATTTTGGACTCTCTATTCTGTTTTATTGATATATGTCTGTTTTTACACCAATACTATACTCTCTATTATTATACTTTTATAATAAATCTGAAAACCAGGCAGTTATTTGTTTTTTATTAAAGTTGTTTTTGGCACATCTAGGTCCTTTGAATTCCTATGTAAATTTTAGAATCAATATTTTAATATCTATAAAGAATCCTGCTGGGATTTTGAATGGGATTATGATGAATCTCTAGATCAATTTGGAGAGAACTGATATCTTAATGTTATTGAGCTTTCTGATCCATAAACGTATCTTTCCATTTATTTGGGTCCTTTAAAATTTCTTCCAGGAATATTATGTACCTGTTTTCCATGTTGTTTGTTAGATTTATTGCTAAGAATTTTATATTGTTTGTTGCTATTGAAAATAATTTTAAAAAATGTTCAATTTCCTTCTGTTTGTTGCTAGGGTACAAAAATTGATTTTTGTATATTGACCTTGTATCCTACAACCTTGCTAAACTCTCATATTACTTTTAGTAGCTTTTTTGTAGATCCCTTATGATTTTCTACAGACATGATCCTGTCGTCTGGGAATAAAATATGTTTGTTCCCAATACATATGTCTTTCGTGTATTTTCACACTTTATTGTATTGAGTACGGTCTCCAGTTAAATGTTGAACAGAATTGGTGAAAGTAGACACCCTTATCTTACTCCTGATCTTAGGGCAAAACCATTCAGTCTTTTAACATTCAGTATAATATTAGCAGTAGGTTTTTCATAGATGCCATCTATCAGTTTGAAGATGCTCTCTTCTATAGCAGGTCTGCATAGAGGTTTTTATTTTTAACACCAGGAATGGACATTGAATATTGTAGAATGTGTTTTTGCTACATTGCTAAGATAATTATATGGATTTTCTTTGTTAATATGGTGAATTATTATATATCGACATTTTCAAATATTAATCTAACTTTGTAATCCTTGAATAAATGGCACTTAACTATGATGTAGTATCTTTTAAATGTATTATTGTGTTTGATTTCATAAAATTAAACATTTTAATGTATATGCTTGTAAGAGATATTGATATATAGTTTTCTTTACTTTTGTTGATTATGACTGGTTTTGTTCTCAGGGTAATGCTGGTTCATAGACTGAGTTGTAAAGTATGCCCTCATTTTTATATTTCTGAAATGTTTGTGTAGAATTGGTATTATTTCTTTCTTCAATGTTTGGTAAAAATAACCAGAAAAGCCATCTGGTCCTAGAATTTTTTATGTAGAAACGTTTTCAACTACAAATTCTTTCTTCTTGAGTGAACTTTGATAGCTTACAACTTTTAAGAAATTTGCTCATTTCACTTAAGTTGTTGAAAATATTAGCCTAAAATTGTCTATAGTATTCTTTCATTAGCTGTAAAATCTGCAGTGGTATCGCCCGTCTCATACATGATATTAGCAAATTGTGTCTTGCTTTTCTTTTTCCTGAACACTCTGGCTAGAGGTTTATCAATTTTATTGATCTACTCAAAA